CAAATCATGCCATGACCTCAACTGTGCCCACAGTCTTCTCTGCCTCTTGTGCTGTTGGTCCGGTTGAGAGTCTTCCTGTTTTGCCTAGGGAAGAGGAAGTCTTTCAAGACATTAGTCTCATTACCAAATAAAGTCAAAGGACATTTGAGTGGATTTTTTCAAGTTGAGGATGAAATCATCAAACCCATGACTTGATCATGAGTCCAAGTATTGTAGAAGGAAAAGTTTTTAGTCTACTTAGTGTCATTGACACGAGAGATAATTAGAGGGGCAGAGTTTTTACCATCATCATTAAGCCCAGGATCGAAGTATGGGAAGAGTTTCTCAGTGAAGCAGCAGCCAGTAAAGGAGTAGATAAGAGCTGCAGCATCTACGTCATAAAAGGAGACCAGACCCTCCTCATAATCCACAAACACCCCCACCTTCTGAGGCCGAGACTTCAGAGAGAGATGGACTGAAGGGTCATCAAGAGCTCTGTACTCATTTCCATTTTTCAACCATATAGTCCAGTAACCCTCATCGGGGCTAAGTGTGACCAGCCCCTTCCTGTTGATCGACTCTCTGGCCACTCCTAGATCCCAGTCAGTCTTTTTAACCTGAACCTCAAAGTAAAATCTGCCAGAAGAGAAACTCTGCTTTCCTAAAACACAGAGACTGGCAGAAAATCTCTTTGGATTGTCTAGAAGATTCTTCTTCACGTCACCATGATTCACTTGTTTCCCATCATCAGACAGGATGAGTTCAGGATGTGCTGTATCAGGATCAAGAGTCACATTTATGGCATACTGCTGGACCCTCTTCAGCTCAGACTCAAACAGCTTCTTCATCTCTTTACTGAGCGTCTCCTCCAGCTGAGCCACAGCTCTCACCACAGTCCCCTCATATGAAGGTGGATGGACGCTGATCTTGGTCCAGTCCTTGGTCGGTGGAGGGTGGATGTTCAGGCACTGGACACTCTGGAGAAGATGGAGGTGGTCTTCAGAGCGTGAGAGCTGCTCCACCTCAGTCCTTCTCTTGATCAGCTCAGAGATTTCCTGTTCCAGCTCTTTGATGAAGCCTTCAGCCTGTTGCTCTGTTGTTCTCTGCTTCTCTTCGATGGTGTCGATGAGCTCCTTCAGGCCTCTCTCAACAGACTGCTTCAGAGAAGTGAAGACCTGAACACCTTCTCCTATCTCTCTGTCTGCATCTTCCTTGCTGAAGGGGACCGAGTGTTTGATCTCCTGAATCTTTAGTCGTCTCTTCTGGATCATCTGCTGAATTTCAGCCTCTGTCTTCCCCAGCTCGGCCTTCTTTCCTTCATATTCTTCCTTCAGAGGAACAAACTCATGTGCCCTGTGGTCTAAAACAGTGCAGAGCATGCAGACACATGTCTGGTCGGTCTTACAGAACAGCTCCAGAGGTTTATTGTGCTTCGTACACATCCTGCTTCCAGGTTCTCCACAGGGTCGATCAGCTGATGTCTTTTCAGGCCTGAAGCTGTCAGATGAGGCTCCAGGTGAGTCTCACAGTAGGAGACCAGACACACCAGGCAGGACTTCAGGGCCTTCAGTTTGGTTCCAGTGCAGACGTCACAGGGAACTTCTCCTGGTTTGGACTCTTGTTGATCCGAGCTGCTGCTGCTGCTGCTGCTGCTGCTGCTGCTGCTGCTGCTGCTGCTGGCTTCCTGCAGAGCTGACTTGAACTGAGAAACCATCTGAGAGATGAAAGTGTTGACCCGCAGTTCAGGTCTTATGTGGAAAAGCTTTGCACATGCGGGACACTGGTACTGGTCAGTGGTATCCCAGTGTTCAGTGATGCAGTTTTTACAGAAGTTGTGTCCACATGATGTGCTGACAGGATCAGTGAACACATCCAGACAGATGGAGCACAGGAACTGGTCTTCAGACAGCAGACTGCTAGGAGAAGCCATATCTACACAATCAAAACAAAAATGAAATGTGAAGAATGCTTTTTTGTGTGTGCAAATTTATGGTTATTTGTGGTAACGTATTTCACTACAGCCCACAAATACTGCATAATGTTTTTGTAAATCTGGGAAATAAAACATTCATGCAACACTAACTTCATTTCCCAATAAGTTAATTAGCCTATAGGGCAGTAAAATGAAAAATCCTGGTCCTTTAATTGTTATTTTTGAAACACAGGTAAGAAGGAAAGAAACTGTTATGGTTTGCTTGTTTGGTTCTTGTTCACAACAGTAATGGGTGAAAGAGAAGAATCGCTGTATCCGACATATGACTGTAGTCTGCACAGCGGACCAGGTCAGCGCTATTACCTCACAGCAAGACATTCTGTGTATTATCTCTCTGGGTCAGCCACCACTGTGGGAGTTAAATAGTAATATAAATAGAGAAGCATTACTTTGGAATCATTATTTGTCTCCCCACACATTACATCGCATATATATCTTGTTTTGTTTTGCTGTAACAACATTTCTAGATCCCTCAATTATTTCATGTTTGTTATTAAAAAATTGTTGCACTCCTTCTGAGACCTGTGCGATGTTTCATATTTATCACATTTGTACATAAAAGTTGTATATAGTGTACACATAACTCTTATTTTTCTATTTCTGTTATATCTTGTATTTCTCTATTTTATTTTAATTTAATGTGTATTGTCGTATCGGTTGAGTTGTATCTGGAACTGCTGTAACAGGTGAAATACATATTTGTGGGCTATTAGTTTACATTTACATTTATTCATTTAGCTGACGCTTTTATCCAAAGCGACTTACAATTGCTATACATGTCAGAGGTCACACGCCCCTGGAACAACTAGGGGTTAAGTGTCTTGCTCAGGGACACAATCGTGGATGTCTCACAGTATATTAAAGAATGTTTATTGCACTTTTTATACCAAAACAAATTTGATTTCTATCACAAAATAAAAACAAGAGTTAGTTTGTGATTGAACCTGTAATTATCATGTGCTGTACTCACCAGTGTTTGGCAGAGACTCTGTTGTGATGCTGAGAAATTCTTGATGAGCTTGATTTTTTATTTAACAGTTATAAAAACACTCGTCTTGCTTGCAGCTCTGCCGTCGCTCTGACAAGCATTCAGTTTCACTTCAGGAATGTGACGTTGAAGCTCCGCCTGCTCTGTGTTTGGTGTTGCTGCTTCTGGCTTGCACATTATTATAATAACATAGTTTTGGCACATAGTTTTGGCACAGGAAGAATTTAATATTCAGGGAATGACACACTAAAGACATCTGGCTGTCAACAGCAGCCCATCGAATGTTTTTACAACAAGAGACAGGTTCTGTTGCGAGCCCAGATATTGGTATGTTTGGCCATGACTCATGAACAAAACTTGAAAACACAAAAAAAGAAAGTGAGCCATTTCTCATCCATGAGTCTTCCATTGTTTTGTCACACGTGTATTTTCGATATCTAATGTGAGTTTTCATGCTTTAATTGTCATTTAAACTCATGTTAGTTAGACCTCTTTGCCACAGACAGGATTCGATCCCTCTTTTCTTGCTTTGTGTTCTTCTGTGGGTTGCTTCACCATTAGACTATCTTCCAAACTGATCAGCACAAACAACTCTGTATGTAATTATTCTCTGGGTGAGAGCTGATGCAGCTTAGAAAGCCCTTATAGTGACTTTCAGCAATTCAATAGTTAAGTTGTTTAAGATTCAGCTGTCTCTGTGATTAAGCTCTCAGGCTGCGGTAGGCAGGTTTGAGGTTCAAGGCTTAACTTTTATATCTACTATTATTGTATAATACAGATTTTTGGTGTCAAAAACTAAACGAATGTCAACATGGACAAAAAAATCATGAACTTTGTATTTAATCATTATGATTTTAATGTTTACAGATTACAGTTGTGCATCCTCTTCCTGCCTAGCCATGTATCCAAATGTACTGATTGTGAATGTTTGTGATAAACTGAAGGATGAAGTGTTCCTTTGTGGGCTGAGAAAACGCTGGTCCTTCTTTAAGGATCATTTTAGTGTTTTTAACCTGGACCCTATTCTCACATATGTTGGTATTAAAATGAATAGTAGGTCCATAAGGTTTTGGAATCCGTGCAGTAGATGGCTTCAGCCGGCAGCTGAACCGGCTGCAGTGACATCCACAAAAAGTGCTTCTTGTTGCCAGCGACAGACAGACCGTTACACCAGGTGCCTGGCACCATCATGGAAAGGATCCCTACGAGGGACTCCAGGTGACCCCCTTTGTTTATAACGGGAAACTGAAGTCTCGCTCTAAAACTGGTGAGGTGAGTTGTGGCAAGAAGACGGCGGTGGAAACGTGAGTCAGGGTTTGTTGTGTTGGAGTAACGTTAGGAAATAAAGTCTTGCTAGCTCTAGGTACACAGCAAACTCCTCCCACTTGTTTTCACCAGCTGCAACACCTCACCTCTCATGACATTTTAGAGCGAGAATATGATGCATTGCTGCAGATTAAACAGTTAAAATAAGGTCATCATGAAACATCTACAGCAGTAAAATGCAATCTCTACATTAATGCGACAGGAACAATAATCCAAAAATATCAGATTTAGTAGTGAAACACTGACAGGGAACATTTCACTGCACTATGACTAATTTTACTTTTGATACTTTAAGGAAATGTTGCTGAAATAAAAGGTACAGGGGGAAATAAAAACACATAAATTCCTGCTTTCCAGAGAAATCTTCTCCACCAACAAATGATTTTATTTTTATAAAGGTAGACACATAATTCAGGTAGCAGGTGAACATTTACAAACACAACAGAATATAATACAGTAATCAGTAGCTGGAATTTATTTTACCTTGAGTTACTTTTTCTGGACAATTCACTTCTGTTTCTTCTATATTTACATAGCATTGCATGTTTTCTTATTGTGCATCAATCCTTTCTCCAAGCACTTTCATTTTGGGAGACAAAAAATATGCCACTTTAAAAAGTGAGGACATGTCCCCAGCTTAAATGACAACTATGGACTGTTATGATTAACAGTGTGAGATTTGTGGAGATGACGCTTTTATTCTGACGGAAAAACACACCTGAAGTGTTAGGTGTGTTGCTTCCGGCGCATCGGCTAGCTTGACGTTAGCTCTTGCAGGCAGAAGGTGGAGGGGCTTCTGCTGGATTCAGGGAACAAACATGGACAGTCAAGGGAGAAAAGTCGTGGTTTGTGACAACGGAACAGGGGTAAGTTTAAGAACAAGGCAGCGCTGTTAAATCTCAGTCCGTGTCGCTCTCCGGTTCTCCGCAGTTCGATAAGAAAACGGCGAGAACTGGAAACAGGAAGTTAACAGAGAGCTAACAGGCTAACGCGTTAGCTTGTGTTTAGGAATGTGTCTGTCAGCTGGATTCATCTGCTGCAGAGCTACAACTGACATTCACTGGGAAGACAAAGTGCTGTTTATGTTTCTCACACTGGAATTTAGCCAATAAAGTATCTGAAAATGGTTGTTGTTGAATCGGGTAACTTGGCTAACTGCAGTACCTTTAGCTAACTCGTAAGTAACTTTGCCTGTGTAACGACATGTAATGACAGCTAGCTACCGCACAGTTCAACTAAACACAATAACAACCGTCCCTTCAAGTAATCACAACATTTAATCACCTTTATAATAACCTAGTAGGTTACTTTTTTAGTTGTTTAGGTAGATTTTCTAACCGTTACATTCTCAGGTAACGTTAGCCATCGTACGCTAGCTTCGCGTTCTTAATCTTTGTTTATATTAAATAGAGTTTGGGTTAAAGAGACCATTCAGTTTATTTCCTTCTATGTTTTACAGTTAGCTTAGCCTGGTTAGCTCAATTCAAACGGCCGCGCCCCTCGTTTAAAAAGAATAGCTCCTCTTCAGCAGTGCAGCTTTAATCACACACACATGCAGAAGGGGTGAAAGCGTGTTATTAAATTGTCGCACATGCTTTTTGTAGCTTTTAGAAATTCAACTGTTTCAGCCAGTAAAAGTGAAATACACCAGTGTGCATGCAAGAGACGTGGGTTGCGGAAGTTGAGGCTTTTCTTCCATGTAAGGAAACTTTCACCAGCCTGAATCTCGATTGACTTTTAAACACTGCCGACAGTTTTTTATGAATCATGACCAAGAGGAAGTTGTTTGTCCTCTGGTTAAAGACTTCGAGAGCATCACAGAGGGACTTCTGTTTTTACTGTAAAAGATTAAAAAATAAATAAATACACAGACTAAAAACTAAAACGTTGTACGTTTTTAATAAGGTACGTTTATTTGTCACATTACAACAAGTGTTAATGTAATTAGTGAAATCGTTAGCTCCATTAAATACAGTTTTCATTTGCTCTGCTTATGTTTATAAAGTTACAGCTGAAACCACCTCACTTCCGGTATGTGCTTCATACTAAATGCACTTTAGCATGAAGGAATAGTAAATTTAAGCATTGCATACACAAAAGAGTTTTTACGACATGATGTCAACACTTCTTGAAGGAGAAGGTTCAGAAAACTACATCTGACATTACATTTAATTTAATTTACCTTTAAAAAATTAACATTGCAAAGAGCTATTTTTTTATTTTTTTGACATGCTGGAGTTGGTTTGTGAGGGAAAAGAAGCAGCTATGGACAGGACATCAAATCGTTTACCTTCTTAAGATTATAGATAAAGTGATTTTTGTTTATTAACATCACCCATTGGAGTTAATAATTGATAGCTTTACTCATAGAATAATGATCTTAGTTTCATAACTCAGTTGCTTCCGTATCTAAATCAATATCAGGAGAGAAAAAGTGGTGTCGGTGAGGCTTGTATTATCTTACATTGAATAGTAGTCTATCAAAATGGTATAAGCATTATTGTTTACACAGTTCTGTTGTCCGAACTGTTTATTCCAAGCAAGTTAAGACATTATGAAGGTTTCTGTTTTACATGTGTGATGAACAGGCGACACAGAATGGCATCTATCTGACTCAGTGTGAGATCTTGTATCTTATAGATCTGAAACATGTTTTTTTAAATATTCTAACATGCATTTTTTTCCCTTCTTTCATTCCCTTCCTAGTTTGTCAAGTGTGGCTATGCAGGCTCCAACTTCCCAGAGCACATTTTCCCAGCGCTGGTTGGCCGGCCAATCATCCGCTCCACAGCTAAAGTTGGAAACATTGAAATCAAGGTAATTATTTTTCATTCAACAGCGTTTTTGTCACCGTGCGGATACTTCTCTGGATGTATCATGACGGCTTGTGGAAGTTGGAACATAGTTAGACTGTGGATAACAGCATCATGTGTGATAAAGCTGCGATTCTTGGCCATGTTCTATGAAGTAGAGCTGGAACAATTCATTGATTAGTTGTCAACTATTTAATTAATTGCAAACTATTTTGATAATCGATTAATTGTTTTGAGTAAAAATGATCTGATTTCTGTGTCTTAAATGTGAATATTTCCTGGTTCTTTCCTTCTCTGTGACAGTAAACTGAATATCTTTTGGGTGGACAAAAAAACACACTTGAGGACGTCTTCCTGGGCTTTTAGGAAACACTGATCAACATTTTTCTGAGATTTTATAGACCAAACAACTAATCGATGAATCGATATAAGAAACGATAAATAATCGTTAGTTGCAGCCCTGATATTGAGTTTATGCAAGTTTAGATCTCAGCCAAACACTGCACTTCTCTTTAGTCAGACAGGTGGGAAATAATTTGATAATCAGCTGCTGAAATTAAAGTCTTAATGACCAGTGGCTGTGAGCTACAGAGAGACAACAGCCAAACATAGTAAAGAAAAGTGCCAGGTAAAGAGCCAAAGTCTTTCTCTCAGTCTGATGAACTGTTGACCTTTGACCTCTCGCAGGACCTGATGGTGGGGGATGAGGCCAGCGAGCTGCGCTCTATGTTGGAGGTGAACTACCCCATGGAGAACGGCATCGTGAGGAACTGGGACGACATGAAGCACCTGTGGGACTACACCTTTGGCCCCGAGAAACTCAACATCAACTCGCGCAACTGCAAGATCCTACTGACCGAGCCGCCCATGAACCCCACCAAGAACAGAGAGAAGATAATAGAGGTGGGTTTTAGCTGAATCAGATGCAGCGCTCCAGATGTTTTTAGTTTTGAGAGACTCGGGCGGTGTGTATTTATATAGAAGTTAACTAATACCTTCTGTTTTTCTCCTGCCAGGTGATGTTTGAAACATACCAGTTTACAGGAGTTTATATCGCCATCCAGGCCGTCCTCACGCTCTACGCTCAAGGTGCGTTTGTCTCCGTAACGCTCATGATCACTGCTAAACTAGGTGACTGAATCGTTGCATGCTTTCTGTGTGGAGATTTTCCCCACCATCTAAACATGTATGTTAGTTTAGTTTCTCCAGTCAATGCCCTTGACCAAGGGAGTTGGTTCCTGGTCCGAATTAGGAGGCAGAGCTTGAACTGCAGTGCCAGAAACTGCATTTCATTGGATGACCATTGAGGCTGCCACCAAAAGCGAGTCATTCCCCATAATAATAATAATAATAATTTTTTTTATTTATAGGGGCCTTTCTGAACACTCAAGGTCACCTCACAAAACATAATAAAAGATTGCTGTGACCTGATAAATAGTGATCATGTTTAAAAAGATTTGTTTTCAAGCGGGATTTAAAAATGGAAAGCCAGTCAATGTTGCCGATGTCTGGTGGAAGAGAGTTACAGAGACGAGGGGCAGAGCGGCTGAAGGCTCTGAACCCCATGGTGGTCAGACGAGCAGGAGGTACAGTGAGGTGAATAGAAGAAGACCTAAGAGTATGGGTGGGTGTGTTAATATAAAGGAGGTCAGTGAGGTACAGAGGAGCAAGGTTGTGAATGGCCTTGAAGGTCAGGAGCAGATTCTTAAAATCAATGTGGTATTTAACGGGGAGCCAATAAAGCTGCTGAAGGAAAAGAGTAATGTGATTAATAGAAGGGGTTCTGGTGATGATACGGGCAGCAGAGTTCTGAACCAGTTGAAGTTTATGTGTGGATTTGAGAGGAAGACCAATGAGAAGAGAATTACAATAATCAATGCGGGATGTGACCAGTGTGTGAACAAGAATGGTTGTACTGGTGGGTGAGAGAGACGGTCTGAGGTGATTAATGTTATGTAAATGGAAGTATGCGGACCTACTGACATTATTAATGTCAGCTTGAAATGATAGAGTGCTGTAGAGGATCACACCCAGACTCTTGACCTGAGGGGAGGGGGACACTGGGGAGTTGTCAATGGTAAGAGAAAAACTGACCGATTTAGTTAAAGGAGACCTATTATGCTTTTCCACATTTTATGACTTATCTACAGTGTTATAATGTTGGATGTTCATGTTAACTATGGCCAAAGCTTAAAAAATGAGGTTAAAGTATTTATAAGAAATCCCTCTGAGCAAAAACCTCAGGTTTCCTCCTGTTCTGAACGTTCTGTTTTCAACTGCTTTTTCTACCAACGGCTGCCAGAGGAGCTGGTGTTCCATTTATGGTCATTTGCTTCCACAGCAACGGCAGCGCTCATTCTGCCTGTTCCGCCCAGGTCTTCAGGTCTTGGCCAATCAGAAGACACTGTGCTTTGAGAGGGGGAGCCTTAAAGAGACAGGAACATCTACAGTTTGTTTCAGACAGAGGCTGAAGTGAAGCCCTACATGAAGAACTTTGAACTTTTAATCGTGCAAAGCTGCCATACAGGAGTCACAATACTACAATGTAGGACTGTAAAAGCAGTATAATAGGTCTCCTTCAAAGTGGATTTGGTACCAATGAGGAGAAACTCGATTTTTCACTGTTAAGTTTGAGGAAGTTGCAAGAGAACCAGGATTTGATTTCCGTTAGGCAATCAGAGAGGGATGTGTGTGGGAGAGATGTGGTAGGTTTGGTGGACAGGTAGAGCTGGGTGTCATCTGCATAGCAGTGAAAATGGATGTTAAATTTACGGAAGATATGGCCAAGAGGAAGCAGATAGATGATGAACAGACAGAACACCGGGAACACCAGGACAGAGCCCTGGGGAACACCAGTAGTGAGAGGGGATAGCTCTGATTTGAAATGTTTGAGTTGGATGAACCGTAGACCCCCATGTTAAAATTCCCACGTCTGCGGTTAAATTGGGATGTTTTCGCCAGTCACACCTGTGGTGCACCATCGGGTAAAGTTTCAGCTTCATACACATCACTGCTAAACCTTAGACTCAGCACTTATTTGTATCTCGTGTCCATCCACATGCACACCATGCCAAGAACTAGGCGATACACATATTTGCACTTTTTTTGTTTCAGGACTGCTGACAGGAGTGGTGGTCGACTCCGGTGACGGCGTCACTCACATCTGCCCGGTGTACGAGGGCTTCTCTCTGCCCCACCTGACCCGACGTCTCGACATCGCAGGGAGGGACATAACGCGCTACCTCATCAAGGTACCTGCAGCACCAAAACAGTTTTTATCAATGGAGACTGGTGACGATTGTTCTCGATTGTGCGATTGTGACTGTTTCTGGTTAAACAAAGAGGATCAACGAGGAAGAAGGTCTCTCTCTGTAGGGATCTTTTTCATAATGTCGTCAGATATTTGTAATAACAATCAGAACACATAAGTGTACGATGGAGCACAATACTGGACAATTTCAAAAAAATGTTGTCCCAATTAGACACACAGACACAAAAACATGAGAAAATAAGGGCCAGGTTGAAAAATACTGAAGTTTCATATTAATATTAAATATTTCTTTAAATCTTGCACTGTACGTTGAATTCTTTTTAAATTCAGTGTTGAGAAGATGATGAAATTAAAAAGGTTCCAGTGTGTTTCGTCAACTTCAATTTAAATTGACGAAACATTCAGGTTCTGTACTGTGTGAATAAATTATATTTGATCTAATTTAATTATGAATTAACATAATGTACCAAACCTTTTGTCTTTTGTCCGACATGAAACCTGTTCCTGTTGTCCAATCAGCGTTCAGTATTTTGGCCACCCCTGTTTCTCCAAAAGAAACCTAGATTTTAAAGTAATTAGCATTTTCAGTCTTGTTGTCTTTTTTGGCTCATGTTCATATTTCATAGTGATCTTATTTTAAAGTTGTTTAGAAACCAGAAATGTTCGGCACACTATGCAGCTGGGTATTTTACATAATTTTTTTATTAATTAATATATTTGTGTTACATAATAATGGTAATTACATAATTTAATGTTTGCACAAATAAATCACTGCACAAGCTGCCATATTGCACATATTCTGTAGTATTCTTTTATATTTTATAAATACAAATCCTCTCCCCCTGTAATATGTTTGCACAACACAAATCCGAAGTAATGCACATGTAAATAACTGCCACATTGTTTTTCTTTTACACATACTACGCATGTAGTTCTAATATTCTTTTGTAACTTTCACTTTTGTATATATATTTTTGATTTATTTATGTCAACTGTAGGTTTATGTCTCTGTCTAGCACCTAATCAATGTAGCAAATTCTTCGGACATGTAAAGTACTGTAAAGCTCTTTCTGATTCTAATTTTGATTCTGATAACTATCAAATCCTCCCTGTACCGTCTGACTTCCAGCTGCTGCTGCTGCGGGGTTATGCCTTCAACCATTCGGCGGACTTTGAGACAGTGAGGATGATGAAGGAGAAGCTTTGCTACGTCGGTTATAACATCGAGCAGGAGCAGAAGCTTTCGCTGGAGACAACGGTGCTGGTCGAGTCATACACGGTCAGTCGTGCCCATGTTAATAAATCATTCGTACAGCAGTTAAAGAGCTCAGTATTTAATAATATTGAGACGTCATTACTTTTCTGAAGGCGTGGATTTTGTGTGTGTCCTCAGCTCCCGGACGGAAGGGTGATCAAGGTGGGAGGTGAGAGGTTCGAAGCCCCTGAGGCTCTGTTTCAACCTCACCTCATCAACGTGGAGGGTGTGGGTGTGGCCGAGCTGCTCTTTAATACCATCCAGGCCGCAGATATCGACACCAGGTGAGCTGTCAGGGGCCGCACGTCAGATTTCTCAAGGCAGCTGGCATAAACCAACAATTTAAGTTTTATTACAAAATATACACGAAAGGATATTCTTACATAAAATATCCAAGTTCCAAAAGGTTTTAAAACTAAATCCCTCTGTGGATACACAGGATAACACATTTACTCACACGTTGTCAAGATTAGTATTCTCACAGGTGGAGAGATGTAAAATAACACCACACAACGTTGTGTTTCTCTGATCAGGTCTGAGTTCTATAAGCACATTGTCCTGTCCGGAGGCTCCACCATGTATCCCGGCCTGCCGTCCCGCCTGGAGCGTGAGCTGAAGCAGCTGTACCTGGAGCGAGTGCTGAAGGGAGACGTGGACAAGCTTTCAGTGAGTACAGGGATCTGAAAAACAAAACACAAAACACTTGAAGCCTATGGGAAGAGATATACTTTTTTTTTTAACTTTGTTTATCGGGTTTTGCCTTGTTATCAGAGCATTTATTAAAAAAAAAAAAGAAATCAATATATATTCCTTTTTATACAAAAACATAACGATATCATTGTAAATATTGCTAAACACAAGAACAACTTATGGAAGAATAAAAGCTGATTTGAAGTTGAACAGCAGTTACTTTTGGTGAAACTTACTAAAAGACAGAAACGAGAGAAGGCGTCGGAGGAGATGGTGTGTACGACCCTTGAGCTGGTTGAGGCAGAAAAAGAAGGACAAGCCGCAAATGTGATGCTGCCAAGCTGGCCAATTAGTTGTTGCGGTCTGCGTAGCCTTGACATGTAGTTAAATGTTTGCGCTGCAGCCTGCAGTGGAGATTCGACACAGAAGGATAAATTGGCCTCTTGTTTACGTACAGTTAACTTAAAGTGCAGCAGTGAGCACTTTAATATTTAAATGGTTTGTACTTCTTCCAGGTACTGAGCTGTAAATATTATGGGAGAGAATGGTGCATCATATGTTTCTATTCTTGATTGTCAGCTTATTTTAAATGTAAACATTCAGTAAATCTGGTTAATCAGTGACAGAAATGCAGCTTTTCTTGTGCAGTGTGTGTATTTGCCAGTAGGTGGTGCTGAAGCCACAGTCTGGTGAAAGCCTTCATCACCTCAGAAACATCTTTCTTTGTCACGTCGTGAGATGACACGGTGAAAATATAACATGTCATTGTTCCTACGTCTCTCTTTGAGAGGAAGCACGTTCTGCAGCCGCTCGGGGAAATCCTCCAAACTGTAATTAATGATCATCTTCAGTCTATTTTAGGGACCTGGCAGGGCGGCGGGGGTTTCAACATGTTATTATCTCCTCCTCGTCTCTTTTAACACAGGGTTCCTGCGGCTCCTTTAAAAAGTTTTATAAAAGGTCTTAAATTGAAATCAGTCGTCTAAAACGCCTAATTAGTGTGTATTTGTATGGTTTTCTTTTAGTAATTGAATTAGACCCCTCCATTAATATAACTCATATTGACGTCTGGCTGCCTGTCATGTTATCGTCAGTTGTGGCTGCAAGATTGGGAGACGCAAGTTAAAGTGGTTGGAGGAAGACCCGATCGTTCTGTCTGGCTCAAACAACCGTAGCCTACATCACGTCCTCTCATTTGCGCAGGTCCAAAAAATTATCTATAACTACAGGTTAAAATAACTTTCTAAAGTATGTCTTTCACCATGATTTGTTTTCCTCCATGGATTATTTCCCTCTTTATAGTTCGGTTATTTTAGTAGTTTATATTGAGTTTAACACAGCAGTGTTGAGTAAGGGCTGGGCAATATGGACTAAAATAGTAAAATCATTATTTTTAAGTTTAAAGGCTGATTTTTGCTCCTGAAGAAACTAGATGGTTAATTGTGCTTTTAAATGTTTCTTTATGGTCAGAACATAACAAACACTTGATGCCAAATAGCAGCCTGGTATCAAACAGTGGATCACTTCACAAAGCTGAGGTAGAAGATTCAAAACAACAAATATGCATCAGAAAAATAATCTTTTTTCAGTCCCTTTTCCTCAACACAATAAACATCTTAACAGAAAAGAAAGTGCTGATTTGTTTGTGATTCAAATGAATTAAATCAAATATTTATTGAACATTTATATATTGTTATTGAGGAAGATTGCATCACGATAATTACCATTTTTGTTTTATTGCCCAGCCCTAGTTCACCTGAGCATGATCAATAATTGGCGCTGTTTGAGCACGTTTATGAATGGACACACTGTCTAAGCGTCCGTCTGCATTGTCAGACTTTAGGATTTTATTTGCAGAAGACTGCGACCGATACATATTTCTGCCCAAGTAGTTGTTGTATGTGGATAGACAACACATTTGCATCCATGTGGTCATGGAGTGCCTGACCACCTCCAGAGGTCGTTTTGCTGATTGGATCACGATCTGTCCTCAATGCGTCTGGGGTGCATTTACACCTGTAGGCCTACTTATGACTACTCATGTGGTCAAGTGTTACCTGATCACAATCTGATCCCCCAAAATGCATTTTAATGCCAGATGTAGACAACCTCTATGTTCCCTGATTCAGAATATGCAAAGTCATTCACCTGTGGTGAAAATACAACTGCTAAATATGGTATTGCATCGTTCATTAAGAGATCAAATGCACGTGTCTTTTCTGTCAAAGAAATTGTTTCAATATTTGAAGTCTTAAATTTATATTTGTTGAGGTATTATAAAGCATTAAATTTGACTTTTCAAATGTTGCAAGAACCCTGTAACACTCTACTCTTCTTTCCACCTCATCTCTACCGCAGAAATTCAAGATCAGGATAGAGGACCCCCCTCGGCGTAAACACATGGTTTTTCTGGGTGGCGCCGTGCTGGCCGACATCATGAAGGACAAGGACAACTTCTGGATGACGCGGGAGGAGTATGAAGAGAAAGGGACGCGGGTGCTGGAGAAGCTCGGAGTCACCGTCAGATAAAACCAACAAGAACACTCCCCCACCCACCTGCCGTCCCCAGTCTACCCCGTCAGCTGATATCCATACATCACTTACCTCTATGTGTCTGGATGGTCACACTGTGTCTTTGACTCGCGCTTGTTTTAAAAAGCAAAAGGGGGAAGGATGGAGGGAAGGAGGGATGTGGAGTTTTGGGGTAAGAAGTCTCATGTCGAGTTCTTGAATATTTGCCCCACAGCACAAAAAAAGAATTATGTTTTGAGATACGCGAGCTGCCGCCAAATACTGCAACGCCATTTAAAGGTATAGTACAACATTTCGGGGAATACTTCAACATTCTTGGTAAGAAAGTGAATTAAGGTATTTCCCAAAATGTTAAACTTCTCCTTTAAAGATGAAGTCATATTTGGCGGCATTAAAATAGGCTTTTCAAACTTTCGGGGTCTTTCTGAGACCAGAGAAATGCTAATATTTAGTTTTAGAGCAGCACCCCTGGGAGTATTTTGGTGTTGTGTGCCTTTCACATGAGGCCAGAAGGAGCTCCTGCTTGTTTTGAAGTTGAAGACAATGATTATGATTATTGTTATCATTGATATAATTAGCAATTCATTCCAAAATGAGACCTCCGCCATGTGAAAAATGTGTCACCTCATCTGTCAAAACAGATGCTGGTATTAAAAATAAAACTCTCAGTGTGGCGCATCACAGAGATTAGACATCTAAACAAATGGAGCATTACACACGTTGTCTTTTAAAATCATCACATTCTGTTCAGGCGGCCGTTTTTAACTCTGTACCTTGTTTGGCTGTCTTTGTGTCTTTTCTTTGTCTGGACGTTTGCTTGCATCTTGAGCGGGGGGAAATCATATCTTCTGGAAGAAGAGGTGTAATTTAAATATGTAGATGGAAGAAATCTGAAGGAAACTCTTCCTCAGTTCTTTGCCTTTGTTGTGTTGGAAGGTTTATTTTGGGAGGTGAGCAGGAGTTCAGATTTAGAAAGTTTTTTTATGGGTTTAATTTGTTTCTATATCCATTTTTACCACCAACAAATCCAATGATCTCTCATTGGATGTGTTGGTGGTAAAAACGTTTTTTTCCATTCTTTAAAGATTACAAAACATCGAGTCATTCCTTAGTCTTGATCCAGGACTGTCATACTACATATCAGCTTTTTTCATCAACATCCCAAGAAACTCAAAACATTTCAGTCACCGAGCAGCTCTTAAAATGTGTTACGGGAAGAATAAATTAAACGTATGAACTCCCTGGATGGTAGGCAATCTTTTTAGTGAGCCTAAAAGGTGGGAAAAATGACTTAAAATAAAATATGAAGCATGATTTACCCTGATCGAGAAATGTCTCCATGTACGGAAGCCCTAAGCTGCTATACATTCAAACTTTTTTTTAACTCCGTTTTCTCATGATAACAAAACAATAGTTAGTACAGGGTAGGCTCGTGACATTATTTAGGGTAAGTTCAAGGCATCACCAATGCCAGTGGGTAGAGCGCAGGACTCTCAAAGTTGTGTGTTCGATCCCCACTTAAGTTTAGTTCTTTTTTAATTATCCTCTTCCACAAAGTTCTTATGAAGAGACTGTTGCACATGATCATAATAAAGCATGTGTTGGAGCGTGTGCGCCCCAGCGATTGATCCACATCCATCAACCTATGAACGCTCCTTTTCATTTGCCCAGCCTCTCCAGGCAGAGGAAATTCCTGCACTTGTCATTCAGGGAAATCCAGTCACACATTCCGGGACGCCTATTTCAGAGGTGTGTTTTGCAAACCCCCACACACAGAATCTTTTAAATGTCCTTCAGAGCTTTTCAAAGGTGCTTGACACACCTCCGAAATGGCCGTTACGAAATGCGAGAGGTTGATGGATGTGGACCAATCTCAAGGACACTCACTCCAGCACATGCTTTATTGTGAGCATGTGAAACTATTACTATTGTTGAAGAGAAAATTAAAATTTAAAAAATCAGCAAAGATGGGAATCGAACGCACAACCCTTTCACTAAAAATCCTGCGCTCTACCAACTAAGCAAACCAGTAACTCTAAGAATCTATCTGAAATTATTTTAAATAAAGTCATCTGCCGACCCTTGTATTACACAATTGTTTTGTTATCGCGGGAAAACAGAGTAAAACATTTTTTTTAAACGGATGGCCGTTTAGGACTTCCGTACATTATGTTCATTTAATTGTAATTTAGCTTCCAGCCACCAGTGGCAGCACTGAGCAGAATTTAATTTGACCAAATTTGCAATATCTAAGCTGTGATTTGAACATGTTATCATTTCCTTTTGTGTTAATTTTAGCTAATCAAAACAAACGGCATATTTGTGACTCATGCACGAGCACATGAAAGCTCTCTAGGACTCAGCTGCAAAGATCAGTAGTTAACGCCCAGAAATTTAACGACAACTATTTTTGATAAACATTCCTTCGTACCAGTTTCTGCTTTTCCCTCACACTCGTATTAACATGTTTATTGGTCGCTAAGAAGAAACCCCGCTATCTGAAGGGTTCATACTCTTTTTGTTCCTTCTTTCATACGATTTATGAACTTGTGACGGAAATGTGTGAGAGATACAGGATGTTCTTGGGTCATAGAGAGTAATTTCTTTTGTTTCTTTTCTCTGTACGTTCCTAAACATCGATGTGCTTTTTGTTTCAGAGGAGACCAGGCTTGGCCTTTCCTCCGATGGACTGTCTGTATGTGTGATTGTACAGCTGTTCGTTGACCTGCATCATTCCCTGTGATTACTGAGAGTCACAGTGAAGCTTTCTGCCCTTAAAGGTTAACTTCTGTATGTTTCAGCCTGGATTTTTTATGTTTATGTAACTTATTGGGACACTATCGAGCGAGCGCTCTGCGGTCGGCAGCAGCAAAACAGGGCTGCAACTTTATTCTTGCAAGCAATGGCACCCCGTCAAAGTACGTCCACTAAAGTGCTTGTTTTTGCCACTGACAGACTCAGATTGTTGTAAGTGTCTGACAACATTATGGAAAGGATCCCTACAGATATATAACTTTTTTTTCAAAAGAGTAAGATTCTTTTTGTTTAACCAGAAACGGTGACTCTTATCGCTCTCGTCATAGCCACCAGACTCCATTGATTAAAAACAGCAATTCTACCTCTCCGGTCTACCAATGCCTGAATCAGTTTATGTGTTTGTGTTGTTCTTTGATTTTGGTCCTTTTAACCCTTTGTAAAACAACAAGGCAGCTGTAGACCACCAACTCCTCAGTGAGGTAAAATTACTGTTTTTGTTAATGAAGCCTGGTGGCTTTAACAAGAGCAAAAGCGACCTTCCTCTTTTTAAAAAAAAGGGTCTTTCTCTGTAGATATTCTTTCCATAATGTTGTTAGACACCAATAATAATAATAATAATAATAATCTGAGCCTGTCAGCAGCAAAAACAAGCACTTTCGTGGACGCAGGGGCACAATTGCCCGCAAGGATCATGTTACAGCCCTTTGTCACTGCTGCCAACTGCAGCACGCTTGCTCAATACTGAAAACGATAAAAAAAAACCAAAAAAAACATAGACATTTGTACATTTGTACATTTGTCCATGTACAAAAAAAGTCCACGTTGAAAAATACACAAGTTACCCTTTACCAGCTGATCTGGGTTCAGTCATCGCTATCAAACTACTATTATATTAAATATGTGGTAAGGAAATTATTTGGCTGCTCCTGTCAGATGTTAGGGGCAAAATTCAACAAATCCTGTTTTAAGAGGAAATCTCAATTAGATAAATTTTAGCTTCTACAGATACTACAGTACCCATGAGTGTCTTTAGAGAAGACACCAACTTGCATTTTGGGATCACTGAACACATGCTCTGTTCAACCAATGAGGTAATTCCGACATGTTCACGTTGCATCCGAAACTCTGTTTAAAGTAGTCGGGTTGACCACGCTTCTCTCCTCCTTCTCGATCTTGGCTGTACTGAAGATGTGTTGGTGTGTTTGGGATTACAGCAGAAGCTGATTAGTGTGGATTATTGAAATATTATTTGTAATATTAATAAGAATCTGGTGAAATGGAGACCACGTAAAAGCTGGTATTTGTGGTTTCTGACTAGGTTCATATGTGTATATTGGAGACACTTGGCTCACAGGAAGAGATATATAAAAATGTTTCCTCTTGACAACATAGTCATCAAGTGCCAAGTACAGTTTTTCTTGCTTGATGTTACTTTTGTCGTTTTTTTTTAATGTTTTGTTTAGAGCATAACTGCCAACCGCTGATTTCAATAAAGCAAAGGGATTTATAGACGCCCGGTGTTTATGTGTCTTCGTAGTCTGTTCTCTCAAATAGCGACGTCACTGTCCTCTGCTGCGGTCAACAAAACGGGATTAAAGGGAAGATTTATAAAGAAGCAGTTCATTCATTCAGTGGCTGAATCAGCAGGACAATGAGTATGTGATCATTGAAACCTGCTGCTTATGAAAACTTACCTTTTTATATGGGACAGTTCACAAGAAGCTAAGTGAGAAATTCCCAAACACATGGTAACGAGATTTGAACACCCAGAGATGGCTGGATGCATCTTCATCGCCTTCATGTGTTCAGGAGGATGCCTTCACTTTCCGAGTTTATCATGTATAAAGGGTACATGATATTTATATATTTCTTACTGTCCGCAAATCCCATAAAACAGTGGTTCTAAAAGTGGGGTTTCCAGGGGCAAGACCTCAGTCCCACATACAAAGTCCTGCTTCCCCAAATACTCACTAGAGCACCACATGTGGATTCATCCACCGCTGAAAATAGTCCCCAACAAATGCACTAAATTTCCAAGTTGTTTTTAAAAGATGTACAACACATGGGATTTGTTGACAAGAAAAAATACCGTCCTTATTTGGGAAACACACTTTTGTTTACAACTTATAAAATACAAAGCATCAGATGTTAAATGTCTACACATACACCAGTGTATGAAGTAGTTCAGTAGGAGTATGCATCAGTTAAAACATTCCAATAATATCATACATATCACTCTCAGTGGGGGTACTCTGCACCTACAATATGTGTGTACTTTTACTTTTGATACCTGAAGTACATTTTGCTGATACTCATGAATTTTTACTCAAGTGACATTTTGAATGCAGGATTTTTACATTTAACAGAGTATTTTTAAAGAGTGTAATTTCTAGTTTTACTTAAATAAAGTACTTCTTCCACCACTGCTGGTGGCCAAGTTGCATTGTGGGTAATATATGCACCAGATTTTGACAAGGAAGAGGAACAGTCCAACAGTGGTCTTGCTTCTTTTACTTAAGTAAAAGAGTACTTCTTCCGTCACTGCTGGTCAGTACCAGACATGTTATCCTCTGTCACGCTGTGGTGTGTGTTCCTGATTTAACTCAAGGGATGAAAAAGGAAGCGTTGCTGCTGAAGATTCTTTCGAGAAAAACAATGACAACAACACAATCAACATAGACACACTCTGAAACCCTGTGTGTGCAGAGCAGATTGTGAGGAAGTCGGCTGGGACGCTCGTCTGGGCCTGATTTGCCGAGGCCCCAGTGAGTCTGCCTGCCTCGCTTTGTTTACTCGGATGAAATCTGAAACAAATGTGACTGCGATAGACCACCAACCCCGCCAACACACCGCCCCTCCCATCCCATCCTGCTCTGAAACACAGCCACGAGTGTGTGTGTGTGTGTGTGTGTGTGTGTGTGTGTGTGTGTGTGTGTGTGTTTCCTGCAGCTCCAAATGAACACGAGCGCCGATCTGATCTGAGACTCCATCTATCTGACACTTTCAGATGTCTCAGTGGCCACCTGACAGATCATTCAAACACCTTCAGGTTGATCTAAGAAGTGATGCTTATTCTGCTGTTTTCTGATCAATAACCAACAGATCAAATATAATTTCGTAAGTCAAGAAGGATAAACGGGCAGCACGGTGGTCACTGTCTTGGCCTTGGTCGACCCAGGCCTTTCTGTGTGGAGTTTTTCATGTTCTGCGTGGGTTCTCTCCGGGTGCTTCAGATTGCTCCCACCGTCATAAGACATGTTGGTTATTAGGTTAAGTGGTGACTTAATTGCTGTTCATTTCTATGTACCCTGTGAGGAAGTATAGAAGATGGATGGATGGATGAATGATACATTTTTTTTTAGCTTTGCACCGTTTGACGTTCTTCTTCGTCAAAACCTGGTGCCTCCATTACCCACAATGCAATGCGACTGTTGACAGTTCAGTCAGCATGGTGGAAGAAGTACTAAGATCTTTTATTTAAGAAAAAGTAAAAATAGTCTATTAAAAATAAAAGTCCTGCATTCAGCAAAATGTACTCCAGGCATCGAATGTAAAAGTACACACATACTGTAGGAGCAGAGTAGTCCCACCGAGAGTGATGTGTGTGATATAATTGGAAATTTTCTACTGATGCATTCACACATAAGAACTCAGACGTCTGTCTGTCAGGGTTCTCAGTCATCCAGGTCATAGTTATCAGTTGCCCTTCTTTGAAGAACTCGGATGTAAAGATTCATCAAACGTAAAGTGGTGCGTTCCATTTGACATGGGAAGTCAGAAATTTCAACTGGAAAGCCCCCTTAAGTCAGATTTCCAACTCGGAAAGTCGGGAGACCCAGAGGAAAAATCTTTTGCTCAGAATGGTCTTTTCTTTAACTCTTGAGAAAACACTAAGATCTCAATAGTATATCTTTTTGAGATCACTCTAATCTGAATTGTTGCTCCTAAAAAGGAGAAAAGGATGAGGAGAAATTGAGGTTTTGAGACTTAGGTAAGACAAATGGATACTGAATTGAGATTAGAATAGGATAAATCTATATTCTATCTATAATATATCTTGAGTTCATTAATGTCTTGCTTATTGCTCGTAAAAAGCAGTTGTGAGCTTGATTGTAACACATCACTGTCTGTGCTTGGAGAACCGTGCTGGAGGCCCTGAGCTGGATTTGAACCCCACTCCTGCTGTTCAAAGGGCAACAACACTGCTGCTGTGCCATCCAGCTAAAACCAACAGGAGGAGAAATACCATATCCACAATTAAAGTCCTCCAAATTCTACTCAAGTAAAAGGTATAAAAGTATTCCATAGTGAATGTACTTAAGTATCAAAAGTAAAAGTGCTTATTCTGTATGACAGATACATGTTGTATCATGTTGTAGTTCTTGCGTGCATTCGGTCCTTAATGAATTAATCTCTAAACATCATGTCAAAGTATTGGCTGTTCCAGTTATGCTGGCTGTGACTAACTTAACAAACTGGAAAGCATGACATTTGAAAGTGCATTATTTTCAATGTCAACATTTATTTAATTTTTCTCAGTAACTTGAAACAGATTGTTAACAATAAATACAATAAGGATTTAAAATTAAGGGGTGTAAAAGTACAAACCCCTATAAAAAGAAAATAGTCAACCTCAACCTTTGACGTAAGTAAAGTACTTGAGTAAAATAACCCCTAAGTGGGGTCACTAAGACTAAACTGAGAAATATCTTGGAGCTTTTTTTCTGATCCACACTCTGGAGGCTGAAATCACACTTATTTAAGATACTGTAGAGATCTCATCTTTTGATCAGAGTAAGACAGAGATGAGTTTTTTGCTCCTGAGGCCAATATGAGAAAACTGAGACATATTTGAGAAGAATCACGAGATCCCAGGAGTCATAGCTGAGTTTTCTTTGAGCTCTTTCTCTGATCTCATGGTCCAATGTTCAGGAGACTTAAATTAGACTTATTTAAGATCAGTTAGAGATCTCTTGTTTTGATCAGAGTCAGACATAAATGAGATTTTATATGGTTGTTTCTCCTGAGATGAATTTGAGAAGTGGGAGAAAAGGCCTTTGGTCTCACCTTGGTATTAAAAGCCTAGCTCATTTGTGTCTAGGAGAGAAGAAGGAAACAACTATGAGATCTCATCTTGGATTTTGCTTTCCTATGGGGAACCTCACCAACCCCGACCTCAAAATCCAAGATGGCTGCTCCCGGAATCAACAGTAGTGAAAGCTGTAGTAACTAACCGTAATGTATTATCTTATGTTTCACATTACCACTAAACATCCAAACAAACTTCTCCTGCAGCACTCTCTGCTGTTTTACCTCACAGCTCCGAATCAACACAGGAAGTGGTGTATTTAGAAACGTATTGGCCAAGCAACATTTCAAGTCCTGCCAGTTACTGAGCTACAGATTAGCAACAGGCCTTGAATCCAGACCAGTGAAGACTTTCAGATGTTGTAGCGTGAGGACCTGCTGTCGTTTTGGCAGCTTACTGTGTTTGTGACTTGCGAATACCAGATATTTACATCATAAACAAACACGGAGCTGCAGCAGACAATTGCACCCCCCCACACACACACACACACACTCACTCAGACATACAGGGCCTCCATTTGTCCACAGGCATTGTGGGAAACGGCCTCTCCCTCCGGCTGTCACAGGATGCAGTCTCTCTTACTGTTGTTATACGAACACAATGACATCCTGATTCGTGTCGTGCAGCGTTCCCAGCACACAGTTAACTGAGCGCACAGGACAGTAAAGTGGCCTTGGAGCCTCCTGCCCATCGGCCAGGCGCCTGGCCTGCAGCCAGGGGGTCATCATTATCCAGCCAGGAGCTCAGAGAGAAACCGGTGTTTTCTGTAGTGTTAGTTGAATGTAATATCAGCAGTTAATTTACAGTGAACGGGTCTCTGCCCTGCAGTTACCCCTGTGCTTTTGCTATTTCCATCACCTGACCTCGCCCCATCCACTTGTTCCCACTTTTTCATTAGCATTTCTCTCTGCCGGCCTGATCCCTGCCTGCTTGTCGGACTTCTGCCCCTTTGCCTGATTCCTAAGTTGATGAGTTTGCTTTACCTTCTTTGCGTGACTGGTATTGACTTTTTCCTGTTTCTGACCACAAGTAAAGCTAAACTTTTAGCTTTGAGTTGTGCTTCTGGGTCCAAACCTGGTAATACAGAGCCAACAGGGATGGGCAGTATTTATAAGACGTGTATTTTAAATACAAAAAAGGATTTTGTAATTTGCTTTGATAGAGTTGGTGAAAATGGCTTCATAATACTTGTGTTTTGTATTTTGTAGTGAAAAAAAATACTATAACATACACTGAACAAAATCATAAATGCAACCCTTTTGTTTTTGCCCCCATTCATCATGAGCTGAACTCAAAGATCTAAGACTTTCTCTATGTACACAAAAGGACTATTTCTCTCAAATATTGTTCACAAATCTGTTAAAATCTGTGTTAGTGAGCTCTTCTCCTTTGCCGAGATAATCCATCCACCTCACAGGTGTGG